TGGATTTCCTTACAAGTGTGGGTATAGCTCAGTTTATTCAACCACTGCCTCTTCACTTGCGGTGTTTGTTTGTTTGTTTGTTTGTTTGTTTGTTTGTTTGTTTTGAGCAGTTCTTCTGAACAGAGTTCACATTGCCATAATTAAGTCGTAATGATTAGTGCCAACCCACCAGTCCTCATCGACTATAAATGTTGTGTAACTTTTCAAATTACATTTTACACATACTCTAAGCCTTCGTCAGTCACAGCCTTGTTATTTCATTCCCTGATTTTTCACTTGAAAATTTTTTCTGTCTTCCTCATAGATTATTTTGCTGTATTCAGGTATTTCCTTGCTTTTCCTCGGAAAAGATCACTTCATCAGATAGGCAAGACTTTTCCCAGTCTTTTCTGAAAAATATGTATTGTCCACCACTCCCATAAATGTCACTCTTAGATTAATACAGACCACAAGAGAGCTATGTGTTTTGGCAGCATTCTTTGGAGCTTTTATAGATCTATATCTAAGAATTATTCAAGTATTTTTAATTTAACCAAGTTAAATAAATATTCATAATTAAATGTATTTTTAATTTTGAAAAGTTAACACTTCATGGTGCTTACCATGTACCTGACACAGTTCTAAACACTTCACAGCTACTAACTTATTTTATCCCCATAACCATTCTATGAAGTAAGAATTATTATCCCTGTTTTACAGATGAGGAAACTGAGGCCCAGAGAGTAAATGGTAGAGTTGGGATTGAAAGGCTGGCTTCAGGCCCCAAACTCTACACCGCTCTACAGCTCCATGAAATTTATCAGCATATTGATTGCAGGAGTGCTCTGAAATATATTCACCACTCAATAAGCCACAGACAGCTTCACCCACATTTTATATCAGGAAAAGCTATGGGGCTCCCTTCTAGCAAAAGTGGGTGGTTTGTATTTCTGTGAGCTTATCTAATCCTGGCTGTATTATTGCCCTATTTTATTTTTCTTTTGCCCAGTCCCCATAATTATTTATTTTATCTTTTTATGCTGTTCCATTTTTCTAAACTGGCGTAGCTGTTTTGTGGAATGTAGTAGGAAATAAATATATAAATAAAATTAATTTTTTCCAAGTCTTTATGAGATCAGTCTATCCATTGCCAGGAAAATATCATTTCTATTACCAAATCTTGCTGTATAGTCCTAGTTATGTAGCTAGTGACTCACTTTCCACATCCTCATTTCAATTGCAAAGTCATATCTGTGTGAGCTAGAAAAAGAAATGAAAATACCACCTAGGTCTTTCAGTTTCCTACTTAAAATGTCAGAGTCTCTGGAGACACATTCCAGAGCTTTACAGTCCATGTCTGCCCTAATTGGCCACAGAAGTTACAGGATTCAAGCCATGATGTGTTCAGCAGGAGTCTAAGTACACAGGCAGTGAGCCAGTTGGGCTATAACTGGGTGGGGAAACGGAAAGTCCTTGGTTAAATAGGCAAAGACTCAAGACCAAGAATCCAAGCTGAGAGTGGGGTGATGGCAGGTCAGGAGCCATTCGAGAACAGAATGAGGTTAGAGTGTAGCATCTGGGCGGGTCAGGGGATGGACAGGTGCTAGAACAGCAGCCTAGCATGAGTCAGTGGGCTTCCTGTGACCCAGCTTTGTCTGTTTCTCTTGCTTCATCTTTCACCTACACCCCTTGCATCCTCCACCCCAGCCACACTAATAAATGACTGAATGTACTCCAAATATGCTGAACTGTTTCACACCTCCACACCTTTTTTCATGCTGTTCCCTTCCTCTTGCCTCTGTCCACCTGACAAGTATCTACTCATTTTTTTCTAGATGCTGCTTAAATAATTTCACTACAAAGCCTTTCTTGCCTCCACCACAGCCTGTCTCCATTCATCTTTCTTGCCTTTCCACACCCATGTACTTGTTGCCACATCTATCTAGACCTTTTGCACCATAGCTCTCTGATATGAGAAATGTCACATTACTATATTTTTTCTAAATCAAATTTAGAAAACATTGGTTCCCAAGGGCCAGGATGTTGACACACTCAATATCTTTATGGGTGCCTCTCCCCCTAGGATCATACCCAAAATCCAAGGAGCTTAAAACAGTACAGAAAATGTGGGAAACGGCCTTCTGGTCTTCAGCACACCTCCCAGGACAATACTGAATAGAAGTAGCAAGAGCAGACATCTCTGCCTTGTTTCTGATGATACAGGCAGAGAATCCACTCTTTCACCACTACGTATGAGGTTAGCTGTGGAGTGCAATGGCACCATCTCGGCCAACAGCAATCTCCGCCTCCCAGGTTCAAGCCATTCTCCTGCCTCAGCCTCCGGAGTAGCTGGGATTACAGACATGTGCACCATGCCCAGCTAATTTTGTATTTTTAGTGGAGACGGGGTTTCTCCATGTTGGTCAGGCTGGTCTCGAACTCCAGACCTCAGGTGATCCGCCCACCTCGTCCTTCTAAAGTGCTGGGATTACAGGCGTGAGGCACCGTGACCGGCCAATAAATTCTTAATAGACAAAAAATTCACAAGCAAATGCAGGAATCAATGTAAAAATAGAAGATTTAAAACAATACTAATAATCCAAATCCTGAGCCCCTGAGCCCCGTCAGAAGTTACTTAAGCCAACTGAAATGGAGTCCCCTGAAACTTCCTGGTTACTCTCCCTTCCAGGCTTAAGCAGGCCATGTCCTCAGAGCAGTGGCAGTTCCCCCCCGCCCACCCACATACACACACACCATGATTTCTATACCATTTGTTCCCAGTGTGATGGATTCTAAGCATCAAGCTGACTTTCCTGCACATTTGAATTTGTTCGTCAGGAAGACAGCACATCTCTAGATAGAAGCAAAACACTAAGCAAGCATGAACTTCTGAAGGCATGCATAAAGCTCTTGGCACAATACCTGATGCCTGATAAGCATTCCATTAAAGTTTGTAATTATGATTATGACTAATTTTCCCATGCCCAAATCATCTGCCCCACCCCCGAAACCTTCTAATGAGGATGCATCATGCCTCCCGAATTATCAGTCAAGTCCTACCCCACAAAGAGTCAGCAACCACAGGAATGGTACATACCTGTTTTTCTTGGAGATGTTAACAGGTTTCCTACCACTTGCTGTGCCTACCAGACCTCCTCAGAGCTCCACACTGCATAGAATGATGACACTGCTTTAAAGTGCAGAGCCTCCCCTGTGACCACCCCAGCACCTCCCCGCTGGGGTCTAACTCTAATGCTACAGCAAGTGTTTTCTGTCTCACTGAGTCTCTTTCTATTTGTCTTCCCCAAGACACTGATACTCCTCTTTCTCTGAAAATCTTTTCCCCCCCTTTGCCTTTCCTCTTTTTTTATTTGTCTCAACTTTTCATATAAGAGTAGCCAGAACTCATGTGTTTTCTTCCATCTTATGTAGCAGGGAGGTTGTTATGGTTTGTACCAGATGTAACTGACGATCACCCCCAGTAAGAGGACACAGTTTGAGATGATTATAATAGTTCTAACTCCATATTTCCTGGAGTTTTGTGGTTTTTGTTGAAAAGCTACCACAAAAAATTGCCTCATTTTCATGGCTCATTTAAAAGGATACACCTACGAAATCTTCTCAGAAGTCTGGTTGTCTCTTATTCTTACCCATGCCCTAACCTCTGCCATCTCCATGGCATATGGCAAAGTGCCACCCTCTGTTCCATAATACCCGTAATCCACAGCAGCAGTGCCCCCAGCATCCTGACTCTTCTTGTCCTGTGATCGGCTAAGATGATCTCAAGGGCCCTGCACCCACCCACCTCTCCCTCTGCTCTTTCTTTATTTATGTTTTTTTTATTTTTTGAGACAGAGTTTCGCTCTTATTGCCCAGGCTAAAGTGCAATGGTACAATCTTGGCTCACTGCAACCTCTGCCTCCCAGGTACAAGCGATTCTCCTATCTCAGCCTCCCAAGTAGCTCGGATTACAGGCATGTGCCACCAGGCCCAGCTAATTTTTTTGTATTTAGTAGAGACGGAGTTTCACCATGTTAGTCAGGCTGGTCAAGAACTCCTGACCTCAGGTGATCCACCCGCCTTGGCCTCCCAAAGTGCTGGATTACAGGTGTGTGCCACCACTCCCGGCCCTGCTCTCTCTTTCTCCTCCCACTTTGCAGGCTGCTTTCACTGCCTTCTCTCTATCTGTCTGTCTATCTATCAATCATCTATCTATCTGTATTTATTTAATTTTTTGTAGAGTCTTGGTATGTTGCACAGACTGGTCTTGAACTCCTGGGCTCAAGCAGTCTTCTTGCCTTGGCCTCCCAAAATGCTGGGATTACAGATGTGAGCCACCACATCTGGCCTTACTACCTTGTACACTCTCTGGACATTCCAGGGATATTCCCCAGTCAGCCTGTTCTAATCCCAGTTGTTAACAAACCAGACTTTATTACCCTCAAAAGAAGAACTGAATTTCTACAACAGACAACACTTCATACAAGTCTTGGTTTCAAGACACTGCTTTTTTCTTTTTCCTTTTGAGACAGACAGGGTCTCACTCTGTCACCCAGGCTGGCGTGCAGTGGTACAATCATGGCTCACTGCAGCCTTGATCTGCTAGGCTCAAGGGATCCTCCCACCTCACCCTCCTGAGTAGCTATGAGTATAGTCACGCACCATGGGCTTCAAGACTCTGTTTTTAAGAATTATAATTCTTAAAAGTCCACATGTAGTGTTGAATATGGTAGGCCCCTCTGGGATGAACATCTACTTCAAGTTACAGGGCATTTCTTAACTTTTCTCTCCATTGTTGACCCTTTTATGTACTCTCTCTGGCATATCCCAGACCAGGCAGGAAGAGTAGTACCTCGTGATATTGATGATTCAAGCAGGAAGTCCCTCCCTACCAGGGCCAAAGTTAAATGGCTCTGCCCCCTCAGCACCCCTGGAAGTCAGGGAAACTTCAATTGGGACTGATCCTCAAATCATGCCATAGACTAAAGATGAACCAGTATTTCTGTATGTCCTTGTTTCAGAAAAGAGAATGGCTGCTGTTAGCCAAGGGGGAACCACTGGGCCCAGGACACAGCCAGAGAATTCCTGCCAGCACCTTCTATGTGATCATGCCATCACGCTCCCTCACACTGCTGGTGAAGGCGGTGGCCACACGGGAACTGATGCTTCCCAGCACCTTCCCCCTGCTACCTGAGGACCCACGTGATGACAGTCTTAAGAATGTGGAGGCAAGTGGAGCCCAGATCTCATGGGACAGATCTAGAAGCGAATAGAGTTTGAGAAAGGGAGGAGGGAGAGGAGTGAGCCCAGGAGGGAATGGATGGGGAGCTGAGGAAGGAGTGTGGTAAGACAGTAAGAAGAGAAAGCAAGAATAGGCAATGATGCCAGACGAAGGAAGTAAACACTTAGATGATGGCAGCAGGGTAAGGAGTGAAATAGAATGGAGGCTGGGTTGAGGGAAATGAGACTTGAGAAGAAAAAACTGGGAGAGAAAAGGGATATTGGCATCAGTGATGACTGGGAATTAGAGTCATCCTAGAGGACTCACGACATGCACACGGACCTGAAATCTGAGGAATAGGTGGCTGTGAAGGAGAAAAGGGAGCATCACAGAGTAGAAGCCTGATGGCAGGCCAGGGCACAGGGAGGCAGGGGAGGAAGCCACAGCACTGGCAGCTCCAGCTCCTGGGGATGCACTGGACACCTGTTTTGTCGGTTTTGTCTTGGCACAGACTGGTTCTCCTGCCCCCACCTCCTCCCCAGAGAGGAGATTGTGATGTTAGACAAGGGAGAGCAGAACATTGGGAGGGAAAGGAAAGGAGAAGACAACAGCGGAAGACAGAAGAAAAAAGAAAGGAGAAGGGTGTAAAAGGAGACCCAAAAATCATTCTTTGTATGGGTTTTCGTGTCTTTGTGTGTTTATTTTTTGAATGTGTCTGTGCTTGGGTCTCCAAATTGGTGGCAGTGGGTATAGATGTGCCTGTGCATATCTGTGTGCTGGTGTGTTCTTAGGGGTCTTTCTGCATTGCATGTGTGCATATGTGTATACCTGTGTTGCGCTCATTTATGTTTGTTGAGAAAAGGAGGAAAAGGCAGCCAATGTAGGTGCCCAAAATAGGAAGGGCTTCAAAATGAGACGAGATGGATGTAGATGCAAAGGCCATTTTTTCCTCCTCCTCCTCCTCCTCCTCCTGGGATCTGGATTCTCTACATTTGCTCTGCTAGTCTCCCCAGGCTAAGGGTGGGAGGGATGACTCTGGGTAGGGAGAACTGGAACCACATTGCTGCTGGCTCGCTGGCTTAAACGCAGCAAGGACAAGGCCTGGGATTGTACTCTTGGCTTGGCGGCCACAGAGACACAGAGAGAGGTGGGCACAAATGGCCATGGCCCGCTCAGCGTCTCACTTTAGGGCCAGTGGTTCCTGGCACAGGATGTTGTGGCCGGAAAACCTGACTGCACAGGAATGTTGTACTCCTGTATCCCCTCCTCCCTTTCCATTCAGCTCAGCTCACCTCCAGGCTGAGAACTCCACGTACTTGCCTTGCAGGCTGTGAGCACCCCACCCTGCTGCGTAGCCCGCTGACACACTCTCCCTCCATGCTCACAGTGGATCCCTTGTAGCATTCATGTGCGCCGGCCCCCTCAGAACCCCTGGACATGCGTCTTGGGGCCAGAGTGTTCAGTGTTCCTAACCACTTAGGGTTTTTCCTACTTCTCCTACCCATGCCTGGCCCTTACATCACAAGCACTGGACCTCAGGCCAGAACACCCAGTGGGACAGCATCTATTTCACAGCCTTCATGGCAGCCCTGGGGTTTCACACTTCCTCCAGCCCCTCACACTTCTGGATCACTGCCTGACATCTTGTGTTCTGTGACCTTAAGTTCCCTGGGTAAGGCCCCTCTTTTCTTTTCCTCAGAGCATGCTGGATAGCCTGGAGCTGGAGCCCACCTACAACCCCTTGCAGGTTCAGAGCCACCTGTACTCACACCTGAGCAACATCTATGCCAAGCCTCAGGGGCGGCTCCACCCACACTGGGAGAGCCGAGCCCCAAGAAAGGTACCACTCCTCTCCTTCCCTCCTCTTCCTTATTTCCCCTCCCTCCCCTTCATGCCCAGAGTCCTAGAAAGCCCTCCTCCCCCATCCCAACACCACCCCCATCCAAGGGACTAGCCTTCCTCCTGGATCCCACCCCTGGTGGAAGGGAAAATTAGAACTCTTACTGGGTAGGGAGGCCTGTTTGCTAGGGCATTTACATATGATAATGTTTAGGTGTTTTAATTGTAGTGTTTATGATAACTCATTAGTCATTTACCAGACTATTGTCCCATTAAGCAAACTGGCTACACAGGAACTATGACCACAGTCCTCCTGAAAGAAAAGGCTGAAGGAAAGGTGGGAAAAGAAATGCCCAAGGGATGGGAAATTAATATTTATAGAGCACCAGTCATTTGCCAGGTTTTATGATAAGTGCTTGCTCATATATTTTTCTCATTTAATCCTCACAGCATCCCTGCAAGGTACGTGTTTGCTCATTTATAGATGAGGAAAGGAGGCTGACCAAGGTTAGTAACTCGAGAGGACTCCCATGACTGGGATTGAAGACAGTTGGGGTTGAAGAGGGAAGAATGATTGAGGATGGAGAAATATTTTTATGAGACCCATGTTCTATGTAATATTTGGGCTTCCTTCTGCCCTTATTAACTTTTTCTCAGTTTCTTAGTAACACAGCCTTTAGAAAAATTCTCATTTTGGGCCAGGCATGGTGGCTCATGCCTATAACTCCAGCACTTTGGAAGGCCGAGGCAGGTGGATCGCTTGAGCTCAGGAGTTTGAGACCAGCCTGGGCAACATGGCAAAACCTCGCCTCTACAAAAATACAAAAAATTAGCCGGGAGTGGTGGTGCTCACTGTAGTCCCAGCTACCTGGGAGGCTAAGGTCGGGGGACTGCTTAAGCCCAGGAGGTTGTGGCTGCAGTGAGCCAAGATTGTGCCACTGCACTCCAGCTTGGGTAACAGAGCAAGTTCCTGTCTTAGAAAAAAAAAAAAAAAAAAGTCATTTTGTCTTAGCTAAAATTACAGGAGGACATTTTCAAACTAGAGGTAGGAGCAGGGGCTACCACAAGTTAGCTGCTGGGCAAGCTGCCAGAGGTAGGACACTGGGCAAGGAGACAGGCACTGTGGAGGCTGGGCTCAAGGGACTCCAGATCACTGTCCTGGGCCTTGAGGCTGTCACTCCAGGGATGGGACTTACGAAGGAGTTAGGACAGGAAGCCCAACAGAGAATGGGATAGGTGCTCAGAAACTCTGATCTTCAGAGAAGGCTCTGGTTGCTCTCTTTGCAGACTGGGCAGTTGCAGACCAACCGAGCTCGAGCTACTGTGGCCCCCCTGCCTATAACTCCTGTCCCAGGCAGCGCCTCCAAGATGCCAGCAGTCAGCAAATCTTCCTCAGATGCCTTCTTTCTGCCTTCAGAGTGGGAGGAGGATCCCTCAGGGCCCTAAGTCACCAGCACCAGAGCCCAGCTGCCCAGCTTAACCACATCCATGCTCAGGTTCACATAATGGCTATCTGTGTGTGGTCAGACCTGCTTTCTATCCACCTGAGCCTCTGTGAGTGAGGGCTGACTGGGAAACAACAGCCTTCCCCTCCTCTGTTTCGCTGCTGTCCCACTCCTCAAGTCGGGAAGCGACACACCCGAGCCTGTCCCTTCTCCAGCAAGGACTCTCATTTTCTTTTGAATCATTTGATACTGTTTACACAGGTGAAGATTAAACACCCAGTAAGCTTCCACCATTGTTAGGAGCATTCCTAACCCAGAATTTCTTCTTGTAGCTCTGTGTAAGCAGGTGGATGAGGTCAGATCACCTTTGGTAAACAGGACCTCAGGAACAAGGATGAGGTTTTCAAAGCTCATAAAAAACAAGTAGAATTGAAATCCAAGCCTCATTTCAGAGCCTGTGCCCTTCCCGCTACACCACCAGGCGTAAGCCTCCAAAAAGACAAGTGCTTGGTACCTACATGCAAAGTGTGTGTGTTGCGGGGTGGGAGGGCTGCCATACAGCCCAGAACAGGGGAGAGGATGGTGTAAAAAAAACCTACTCCTTTCCTGTTACTCTCTCCCTACACGTACCAACCTTCCTGTTGCTCCCTCCATCCACAGAATAATAGCTACCATTTATAAAATGTTTACTCTGGGCTGGGAGCAGTGGCTAACACCTTTTATCCCAACACTTTGAGAGACTGAGGTGGGATGATCACTTGAGGCCAGCAGTTCGAGACCAACCTGAGCAACACAGTGAGACCCCCATCTCTACATAAAAAATATTTTTTTAAAAAAACCACTCTGTGCTTCAGATTACACTAAATACGTATAATGTATCTAATTTCATACAAAAAGCCCTGTGAGGTAGGGCCCATTATAGCTTTCCCATTTTACAGAGAGGCACAGAGGAAACTGAGGGTTGCAGATGTTATACAACTCACCCAGGGCCACAGAGCTCATGTCTAGCCCAGGGCAGCCTGACTTGACTCCCCAGGCACTGAACCGCCACACTCCTGTTGTTCCCTTCCTAGACGCCTTTCCGTGACTCTCAACACATTCCTTGTTCTCCTCTTGATCCCCACCACACCCAAGCCAACCACTGTGTCCCCTCTTTTTCTGTTCACACACATAAACTTCTTAAACCCAAGCTGACTTTAATGAGAATTTTAAAATTTTTAAATAGGTCTCTGGCAAAGAACAATGCAGGAGTAAGAATCCAGGCACAGTCCAACATCTCCCTGAGGCCTCCTCATGGGCCCCTCAAACTGCACCCACTCTGACCATGCACCACTTTCCACAGACCTGGTCCCGCAGCTGTCCCTTCCTTTGGGGAAGTGGAGAAGGGACGGCTTTAGTAGGATACAGAGCCCATCCCTCAGCCTTGCCATCTGCCCCACTTCTTAGGACTTCCTGGGATTGTCCTTCCTTTGACTCCCCTATCCCTCTGGTCCCCTGGTCTCATACAGCACGGCCCCTCCCACCTTCTGGCTTCTGCTGGTTCTAATCATTTTCTTAGATCCCTAGTGCCACCTCCCCATGGTCCTCCTTAGCCACCTCAGCCTTGCCCTCCTTCTCAGGTAGAGGCCTCTGACTTGACCCCAGTCTTGTCAATCCCTATTCTAGACAGCTCACAGTCCCAGCTCCCTGAGGCCCCGCTTTTATGGACCTGGCTGTACAGGGCTGAGTTGTAGCTTTTGCTGCCACTGCCAGTTGCAGTACCAGGTTCAGGCTTGGGAGCAGGGAGGGGCTTTGTGCTCCGAGGGGGTGGCACAGCATAGTCATCAGTGGCAGGGTTGTAGGGGAGCTCATAGCCCTCCTCCTTCACCCGGGCTTGGCACCACCATGCATCCTTGGGCTCCCGAGGCAGATCATAAAGGCCCTGGGCAGGGACTGGGGCCAAGCCTTCAGGTTCATCATAGATGGGGTCCTCTTTGGGGTCTGTCAGCTTGGCCTTCAGCAACTGCTGCTGCGCATGCTCAAACAAGTCCCAATAGAGAGGTTTCTTCCGTTGCACTCCCTCTCCTGCCCAGGCAGGGGTGCTGTCCAAGGGGTCTGAGTATAGGGAGTCCTGGGAAGGGCATGGAGCAATTCGCAAGGAGTCTAAGGGCTCAGCGTACAGGGCTGGGGGGCTGTCAAGGAGCTCTTGGGGGCCAGGTGGGGAAGGCAACTTCCCCTCTGCCACCTCCCCTTCATGGGAATCAGCTCTGAGAACATCGTGCCCCTGTCCGGCCTTTCCCTGGGCCTTCTGCCGGTGGATGGCAGTCTCAACTGCCTGGAAGATGTCATTTCCCTGTGCTGTCTGGAAGGTGAAGGTTCCAGGGCCGGAGGGGCAGCGGCGGCCGGCCTCGAAAGAGAACATGACCTGAGGAGGGTAGAGAGGGAAACACATTACCAGGAGCCATCAGAGGAAGTGAGTCACAGGCCTGCACTAGTTAGGGTATCTACAAAGAAGAGACCACCTGGGGTCACCGGGTAGGCAAGAAAGGGGGATCCAAAGGTCAGAGCTTCCCACCTTCTGTCCTGCCCCACCCCTCCCACAGCTGCCCAACCCAGGAAGCCCTCCCGGACAGCCCCTGCACCTTGTCCCGGCCATAGCGACGCAACAGAGTGTAGGGCCAGGACAGGAGTGGCTCCAGTATCTGACTCTGGGCCCCCATGGTCAGGAGAGTCAGCCTCTCAGTCTCCACCCTCAGCACGTAGGAGCCATGCAGGCCACAGCGCTCGGCGGCCTCAGTCCTCTGCACCGTTACCCAGAATTGGGATCCTGGAAGGCATATACGATTAGACAGCTGCTGGGGGAGGGGCGGGGGCAGCAGTGGGGACCCAGAGCACTCATGAGCGTAATGTCCAAGCACTCACTTGGAAGCCAGATCTTAGGGCCTTCCTACTTCCCCATGGGCCCCTGGGTATCCACCCACTTTCCAAAGGCCCTCCTCCTCACTCCATCCCTGCCCCGGCTTCTTAGGCGTCTACCTTCCCAGGTGGGGCTGTACAAGGAGTTCTCCAGCATCTCCAGGGCAGAAAGCTTAGGTGGGTTATCGGAAGGCGCCAGAGTCCAGCTGCCTTTCTGTAGTAGAGAGAGAGCATCGAGAAACCTGTAATTTTCTCAACGGGGAGTGGGTGTCGGTCTGAGCCAGCCCCATTTCTCTGCCTCTGTAACTGCCCCCACCCCGCATCGCCGCAGCTCCTCACCGGAAAGGCGTTTCGGCACAGCGTCTGCACCCAGGCTGCACTGGACGGCGCGTCGGCCGCCAGCAAGTGCGAGCGCTGAGCAGTGTCCAGGCGGAAGGCAGTTGCGCCGGGCTCAGGCGGGGTCTCCACGGTAACAGGGGCCACACTCACACATTCAGCCAGACGGATCACCTTGCAGTCCAGGCGGCGCGAGCTCCCTCGGCCACCCCCAGAGCTCGACCCCTTATGGTCAAAGAACTCGAGCCGCGCTACGCCGTGAGGACTGGCCGGGTAGAGCACGGCCCAGGTCTTCCTCCACCTCTAGGGAGAGAGTGAGAGGGCTGGAGAGTGAGTGGCGTGCGCGGGCGGCCCGGGTCGCGACGGGGAAGGAGGGAGCGGCGCAGGTCGATTTGGGGTCTGGGGCTTCCAAACGGGGGGGCGAAGTTTCCCAAGGAGGATGCCACTCCGTCTCCCCAGGACCAGAACCCCGAGACTAGAGACGCTTCCTGGGAGCGTACAAAGCAACTTCGCGGGACAGTCACAGGCTCTCCAACTGCCCGCGCCGCGCTCCAGCCTGCTGCCCACCTCTCCCTGTTTCTGGGCTCTCTCACCCACTACTAGCCCGGATAAGGTTCGGCATCCGTGCCCCAGACTACCTTGGTCCCAAAGCGCTGACTCTGCAAAAACAGCGGCCCTTCCATCACTGCTACGTCCATGGCCCCCGGCGGTTCCTTCCGCGCTTCCTGGCCCTGCGGCGGGAGGCGGGACGGGAGGCGGAGCCGGGTTCCCTGGAGGCGTTTCCGCCCCTCCCCGGCCCCCACCGGCAGCCGCTGGGGGGTCGCGGTGGGGTGAGGGAGAAGAGCGAGAAGGAAGGGTGGAGGCCCCCGGATTAGCCTGGCGCTACCCAGGCCCCTACCCGCCATCGTAGGGGCGCGCCGGTAGCTCCACTGAAAGTACTCGGTTTTGGCGCGAGGACCCTGGCCTCTGGACGTGGTGGCTGCGCGTGACGTCATATGTCCAACGTGACATCAGAGTGAAAGCCATGACCTCACCCCGAAAGCCCCCGGAGGCACCGGAGAGACCCACACGGGCCTCCAGAGCTTCAGTTCCCCTGGGCGGGCCCGCCCCCAGCCCCGCCCGAGCCGAGCTGTTTACACTCCGCTGACCCGGGACTCGGAGGGAGGGTTGGGATTGAACCGCTTCCCGCCACCACTGGGGCCGCCCCGCCGCCCGGCGGCCGCTTGCATGTCAGCTCCCTGACCGCAGAGGCCTGGCCTCCATGCCGCGGGAAGAGAAAGCTTCTTTGAGCGGGCCGGGAGGGCCGGGGAGGGGGAGGGGGCGCAGCAGTGGCCAGCTCCACAGGGAGGGAGGACCCAGAGGAGGAGAGGAGGGAACTGGCCGGGAGGAATGGAGCGAGAAGGCGGAATGTGGGAGGGCTCAGGGGGATGTGGGAGGGAAGAACAGAGAAGGGGGAGAGAGGGGGAGTCTAGTCTCCCCTGGCCGATCATTTTTTTTTTTTTTTTTTTTTTTTTTTAGAAGTCCTAGGACTGATCTCCAGGACCAGCACTCTTCTCCCAGCCCTTAGGGTCCTGCTCGGCCAAGGTAGGGGGAGTCACGTTAACCGCAGAGGGAGAGAGTAGGGGATGGAGAGGATGTGGAGGGACCAGAGAAAACGGTGGTGTGGGATGGAGTCGAGGGGAAGCCACCCAACTGAGAGTTTGATTCTTGTCTAAGGGCATGTGAGACAGAGTACAGAGAGGAGGCACATACCGGAGGCGGGGGGCTCCGGGTGTTCTGAACAGGGCCACCAGGCGCGCTTTAAGGGAGGGGGCTCCTCCGGGAGGCCCTACCCCTGGGTCCCCAAGCCAAAATGTCCCCAGAACAAAGCTGCCTTGTTGGATTGATTGATTGGGTTGGGGGAAGCATGTTGACGGGGGCTTGCTGTAGAGGGGCTGTTCTCAGCCCTAGGCAGAGAAGGCCTTGGCTGAGGAGCCATAGCGCCTGGCCTCCGGTTGCCCGGTGACAGCGATGGTGGTATTGGCAGGAGGCTTGGACAACCCTACCCCATCCCCCACCCAGCCTTAAGGCCTGGCCCTCCTGGGCCTCTTGACCCTGCAGGGCATCTGAGAGCCTGTGTACTGGGGAGGGCATGCAGCAGGCTCTCCAGGTGAGCTTTGGTGCCAGCCTTCCCTGCCTGGGAATCTGCTGGGTTAGGACTCTGGGCTCTCATTCAGGGGATCTGTGATCCCAGGGACGCCTAGGGCCCCTTACGTGCCTCTCTGCACAATCAGTACAGCTGTCTGTCCTCCCTCTGGGTAAATGGGGTCATCTGGATCCCTCCCACGTCCGCCCCTTGGCTCTTGTCAATCTCTCTCCTCCTAACCCAGGGCTTGCTTCGTTCCCCTATACTGAGTGCTTCGTTCTTTTCCTATCACCTTCTATCTGTTGTCTCTCTCCTCTGTGTCTTTCTGTTTTTCTCTCTCTCGTTCCCACAGTCTCCCTTCCTCTCACATCCTGTCTGTCTGGGTCTTCCTCTCTGCATGTCTCTTGCTCAGTCTCTGTCTCTTTTTCTTGACCCTTCTCTGACTCTTGATCTCTCATAGCTGTCTCTTATCTCTGGGTCTCTCAGACTGTGCCTCTATGACCTGTGCCTCTGCCCTTATTTAATGTGCTTCTCTCCCTGTCTCTCTTGGTCCCTGGGGCTCTTTCCTGCTGTCTCTCGCGATCTCTGTCTTACTCAGTGTCTGTTTTTCTTTCGTGACTTCTCCCTCTCTTTCTGACTCTGGGCCCCATTCAATCTCAGTTTCTCTCACACGTACTTTCTCTCTGGGGCACCCAGGCCTTCCCTACCATGCGACCTGTCAGTGTCTGTCAGTGGAGCCCCTGGGGGCTGCTCCTGTGCCTGCTGTGCAGCTCGTGCTTGGGGTCTCCGTCCCCTTCCACGGACCCTGAGAAGAGGGCCGGGAGCCAGGGGCTGCGGTTCCGGCTGGCTGGCTTCCCCAGGAAGCCCTACGAGGGCCGCGTGGAGATACAGCGAGCTGGTGAATGGGGCACCATCTGCGATGATGACTTCACGCTGCAGGCTGCCCATGTCCTCTGCCGGGAGCTGGGCTTCACAGAGGCTACAGGCTGGACCCACAGTGCCAAATATGGCCCTGGAACCGGTGAGCAATGATCCAGGCATATCCTAGGTATTACCTAAGTGTGGCCGAAGTTCAGGGAAAGGGAACACCAGGATGGCACAGCCATAGGGACGCATGACACCAAGAACAGCCAGCATTGAGTAAACCCATGGGTGACAAACCAAACAACATAGTTACTTCTCAGAGCTGTGTGACCTTAGGCTAATTGGTGCTTTCTCTGAGCCTTGGATGCCATGTGTGCAAAATGACTAGATGATGTCTAAGTTCTTTTCTGCTGCAAAAGTATGATCCTACAAAGCCATCAGCAAAATAGCCCAGATACAGGTGAGCCCTGTACAAATAAAGTACAGTTGGTTTCATGGGACGCTAAGAGCAGGTAAATGATATCTGGATGTCCCAAAGTCATAAGGGGTCACAGACACTGCAGTTAACAAAATCAGGCTATAGGCCAGAGCTAAAATTAACAAGGTGGTACTGTCTAAGGACAAGTATAAAATCTAGGACAAGTATGAGTGTGGGTGGTGGAGGCTTAAGAACAGTTCCCTAGGTGAGGCCTAGGACTGTGCCCATGGTATGAACCCACAGTGGGATTGATGGACAGAAGCAGGTGCAACCTGCAGCTGATCCCCCAGTTCCCACTGGCTAGACCACCTGTGGAATTAAGTGTCATTTGTAGATGCTGTGTTTTAAGAGGGACAGTAGAAAATGGAAATACTTTCACAGGAGAGCTGCCTAGATGTGAAAGATTCAGAAGCCAAGTTTCAACAAGGAATTGCTGAAGAATCAGGGAATTGATATGGAAAGTAAAAGCCTTGCATAGCAATGACATAATGGTTGTTTTCAAACATGAGAAGGACAGTCGTGTGGCTGAGGGATTTTTCTGATTGGCACCAAAGGACTGAATCAGATGTGGTGGGGGAAAGTCACGAAGAGTCACAAGGACTTTGATGACCTTGAACATTGGCTAGGACAGATGACCTTTGAGGCTGCACCTAATTCTGAGAGGAAGTCAGTGATACTCCACAGGGTTCAGGCCAGGCACGGTGGCTCACGCATGTAATCCCAGCACTTTGGGAGGCTGAGGCGGGTGGATCACCTGAGGTCAGGACTTCAAGACCAGCCTGGCCAACATGGTGAAACCCCGACTGTACTAAAAATATAAAAATTAGCGGGGCATGGTGGCTGCGCTTATAGTCCCAGCTACTTGGGAGGCTAAGGCAGGAGAATTGCTTGAATCTGGGAGACGGAGGTTGCAGTGAGCCAAGATCATGCCACTGCACTTCAGCCTAGGCGACAGGACAAGACTTCTTTTAAAAAACAAAATCAGGGCTGGGCGCGGTGGCTCAAGCCTGTAATCCCAGCACTTTGGGAGGCCGAGATGAGCGGATCACGAGGTCGGGAGATCGAGACCATCCTGGCTGACACGGTGAAACCCTGTCTCTACTAAAAAATACAAAAAACTAGCCGGGCGAGGTGGCGGGCGCCTGTAGTCCCAGCTACTCAGGAGGCTGAGGCAGGAGAATGGCGTAAACCCAGGAGGCGGAGCTTGCAGTGAGCTGAGATCTGGCCACTGCACTCCAGCCCGGGCCACAGAGTGAGACTCCGTCTCAAAAAAAAAAAAAAAAAAAAAAAAAAAAATCGGGTTTCGGACAGAGAGAAGAACAAGGGCAGCACAGACAGGGCGAGCACACAAGAGAATGCAAGGATGTGATGAAAGGATCTTGGATGTCCAAGCCTCACAGATAGATCAAACTCCTAAGCCCCCATGTATTGGCTGTGTGGTCTTAAGCAATTTACTTAGCTTCTCTAAACTCCAGTTTCTTTATATAAAACGGTGTTCTGGCAGCTCTGTTCTAAGAATGATCACATATGTGCACACCATGGCAGAAAACCTGGCACACAGTAGGTACCTGATTAATTGTACCTATCATTGAATGGGTAGAGACTAATCAGAACATCAGGGTTGATTCTTGGTTTTTTATTCACCCTATCAGGTTCTTGAGTACCCCCAGATCACACCAAACTTCCCTCAATCTTATGCCCCCTTCCTATTCCCTGCCAGGGTCCCCTGTCCCTTCTCCACCCCTTATCATACCAGAAAGATGGGATCATCATGGCCAGGTGGGAGGCATCAGCACTCACTCTTTCCAACATCCCCATTACTCCCCCATCCTCCCTCCCCAAGCTTCTCTGTCCCTTCATCTCCCCTTCCACAGGCCGCATCTGGCTGGACAACCTGAGCTGCAGTGGGACCGAGCAGAGTGTGACTGAATGTGCCTCCCGGGGCTGGGGGAACAGTGACTGTACGCACGATGAGGATGCTGGGGTCATCTGCAAGGACCAGCGCCTCCCTGGCTTCTCAGACTCCAATGTCATTGAGGTCTGCACTTCCTAGACATACACACACATACCACCCAGGATAGCCAAGAGGACTGTGGGGTGGTTAGGGGAGACATTAGAAAGTAGTTACCACTGGGGGATCATTTGGATTGGTGGGAGGCTTGGAAAAGCAAATGATAGAGCTCCTAGATGCTGTAAAATCCAACAGGGTTTTTCGCATTCGCATTCAAGGGGCTACACCTGGCATGAGCCTCTCCAGCTTCATCCCTAGTCACCCCTGGGGCACCTGGTGCTCTCCTTCTCAAAGGTTCCTGCTTTCCTGAGACATCTTCCTTCTGACTTTCTCCTCCTTCAAAGCCATTTCCTCTCTGAAGTGCGCCCTCCTGCTCCAGGCACAGGGAGGTGCTCCTTCCTAGTGTCCTGAATCCTCTCTGGGAGCAAGCATATCCCCCCGCGCTGCTGGCTGCAAGAGAGTCCACACCGCGGACTGCGGCCATTGTGGTCGCTCTCTCAGTGCCGCCTCGGGCCCATCTGGCCACTGGGTTTACAGCAGGCGCACCAAGCAGGGTTCCTTAAGAGTGGCAGGACACAGGAAAGGTGCCACTGGGATTCTTTCCCTGCTTGTGGCCCCGCCCCCAGGTAGAGCATCACCTGCAAGTGGAGGAGGTGCGAATTCGACCCGCCGTTGGGTGGGGCAGACGACCCCTGCCCGTGACGGAGGGGCTGGTGGAAGTCAGGCTTCCTGACGGCTGGTCGCAAGTGTGCGACAAAGGCTGGAGCGCCCACAACAGCCACGTGGTCTGCGGGATGCTGGGCTTCCCCAGCGAAAAGAGGGTCAACGCGGCCTTCTACAGGTGAGGGGCCGCGGGCACCGGGCGGAGCGGGCCGGGATTGGGGTGCTCCCTGATGAATAGCCTTGGGAGACATCTGAGCAGGTCCGGGGCACGGGAGGAGCCGGGGGTCGAGACGCGCGGGAAAATATGGAGGCCGTTGCGAAGCTGGATTGTTGGGAAATCTTGTGGGACCACGAAAGGTGCCCCAAGGGAGTACCTGAAATGGGGACCAGTGAGGGTCCCGCTCTCTCGCGGCCGACGCCTGACTGGGCAGGCAGATTCCTCGGCCCGGGGCGCGCGCCGGCCTCGCGAGGCCACTCCCAGGCCCTGGGGCGATTCCAACGCTGGCGCCGCTGGCCAGCGAGTTCCGAGTTCAGCAAGGACGCGGCCACCCCTGGGAGGCGGCGCCTGGGTGTGTCCCGCGCGGGCTGGGCGCCCAGGGTCTGGGGACCCCGGGACGGCGGCGCGCGGTGGCCGAAGGGCGCCAGGAGACACGGCGCCCCCTCTCTGCCCGGGCCGCCCCCGGGCGCGTGTGTGAGCGCTCGAGCCCTCGGACTCCTGGAAGTCCTGGCGTTTCCCAGAATCTCTTTTGGCGAGGTCCAACCTCTCCACCTGCGTTGGAGCCCTGGGGTCCAGTCTGGCTTCCAGGGAAACGCATCACCCTGGGAACTGTCTGTGCTTAGCGTCTCCCTTCCCTGGAGCATCTACTTTGATCTTTTTGAGAAACTGCCATTGACAGCCAGACATTTATTTGGAAATCTTTACACGCTCTCTCTGTAATCTACTTTGTAAGTCAAAAATCCTCCCTTTCTTCAGTGGTTCCCTAGATCAGTATTGCTGAAGGGCCTCTTGATGTCCGGATAGCTTTCCGCCGGCACACTACTGCAGATGGGGTCTGATGCGGCCAGCCACGATAGAAATCCTCAACCCCGACAGAAGCATGCTCGGATTACACTGTCTTCCTACTGCGGCAGCTTCCCACTGCTTATACTGAACTTGTCATCACCTAAAACCAGTTCAGGTCTTCCCTATGCTTCCTACTGATAGAGCAGCCTTTTCCAACCCAGGTATAGGTGACGTTTACCCTATTACGTTTGTTTTGATACAGAATTTAGAAGCCATAAAAAAGCCATGATGATCCCATGAGATTATCTTGAGTCCTGATGTGACTTTCCATCTGTCATCCCTCTCAGCCTCCTCTGCTGAACAGACATGGCAGCTTTGCCTTCTGGCTTCATCCAAATGGCTAAAAGTTGTTGTGAAAATGTTTAAAACCAAAGTCTAACTCTTCTTGCAAAATGTTCCTGCAGATTTTCATCAAGCTTCTAATCATCAGCTGTAAAATATGTTCCTTCCACCAACTGGGAAGAAACAGAACACTTCAATGATATAACCAACATTTCACCTGATCTATCTACATACTTCTTATCTGTAATGAAATCATGGGAGATTTTGTTAGTCTTTGATAAAAAATCCAGAAATGCTACATTCACAGTCATTCTCCAGCCTTCCAATTTAGTAACCCTGTCAAAAAAGAAAATCATAGTAGTTTGAGCCTATTTTTACTGAAATCCTTTTAGGTCTCTTAAGAATCACCTTATTTTTTCCTAAATGCTCACAAACTTCTAGTTAATAATTTATTCTAGAATATTACTTATGTGTAGATTGAGGAATTGAGGAATCCTTTTTCGCCTTTTTTTTATTTTGAAAGTCAGGATATTATCCAGTCTCCAGTCTTTTCTATACCTGCTCACACTTTCTTTGACTTGGCTCTGAGGCTCATCTGAAATGTCTTTCAGTACTGAGGATTTTCAGTACTTTATCTGGCTTGGACACTCAAACCACTTTAAAACAAACATGTGCTGTGCCTCTTTACTTTCATCCATCTTGGGGCTGCATTTCCTTCTCTGTGCTGCTTACCTTCCCTAATTTAAACCCCATGTTCTGAAAGATGCATAGCATTTAAATAGACATTTCCAGTGAAGAGGATAGCATGAACAAAGGTGTAGAGATCCATTCACCCAATATTTATTTACTGAGATCTTACTGTGTGCCAGGTACTGTTATAGACGCTAGCCGTGGCTCATGCCTGTAATCCCAGCACTTTGGGAGGCCAAGGTGGAAGGATTATTTGAGCCCAGGAATTCGAGACCAGCCTGGGCAACATAGTGAGACCCTGTCTCTACGGATAATTTTTAAAAAATAAAATTAGCTGAACATGGTGGTGCGTACCTGTGGTTCTAGCTACTTGAGAGGCTGAGGCGGGAAGATTGCTTGAGCCCAGGAAGTCAAGGCTGCAGTGAGCCGTGATTATGCCACTACACTGCAGCCTGGCTGGCAGAGCAAGACCCTGTCTCAAAAAATAAATTAACTAAGGCTGGGCGCGTTGGCTCACACCTGTAATCCCAGCACTTTGGGAGGCTGAGGCAGGTAAATCACCTGAGGTTGGGAGTTCGAGACCAGCCTGACCAACACGGAGAAACCCCGTCTCTACTAAAAATACAAAATTAGCTGGGTATGGTGGCATATGACTGTAATCCCAGCTACTTGGGAGGCTGAGGCAGGAGAATCACTTGAACCCAGGAGGCGGAGGTTGCAGTGAGCTGAGATTGCACCAGCCTGGGCAACAAGAGCGAAACTCCATCTCAAATAAAAATAAAATAAAGTAAGTAAATAAATAAGTGGTCAAGGAAGGCCTCTTGGAGAAGGCATCATTTGAGAAAAGATTTAAAGGAGGTGAGGGCACAAGCTATGCAGACCTCTATATAAACATTTCCAGGAAGAAGGATCAAAAATGAAAATATTCTGGGGTGTGTGTGCCTGTATGTGTGTGCGCGCGCGCGTGTGTGTGTGTGTGTGTGTAGTGGGTGATGAGATAAGGCATTCTTGTCCTTCTCCTGGAGGCCACTGTGGCTGGAGCTGAGTGAAAAAGAGGAAAATGGTAGGACATGCAGTGTAGGTGGTGATCAGAAAAGAATGGGGAGCCAGATCCTGTGGGCCATCTGGGAGAGGCTGGCTTTTGTTCTGTGGGAGGTAAGGAACCACTGGAGGGTTTGGAGCAGGGTTGTGACATTGGGCTTCCATTTTTTTCAGTACTACTTTCACTGCTTTATTAGGAATAGACTGTAAGGGATGCAGTAGAAGCAAGAAGTCAGGTGGCTAGTTATGGGGTTATCGTCTTCTGAAAGCCACGTAAAGAAAGTGAAAGGTGATGATGACCAGCGAAAGTGGTGAAAAATGATCAGGTTTTATAGATAGTTGTGATGTGAGAGAGAGGAGTTAAGGCTCTCCAGGTTTTTGGCCCCAGCTAAGTATGGAATTGGCCTCACCTGACAAGCAAAATAGTGGATGGAGTATGTTTTGTTGGGAGATGGGCTTGGGGGTGGAGGGTAGGAACTTGGTTTTAGATTCTTTAAGATTCTTTAAGACATTGAAGTGGTGAGGCTAAGTTAGGCAATTTAATATAGGACTCGGAGTTCAGTTGAGTAAAACATATAAAGTCCTGAAACTGGACAACATACCAAGGAAGTGAATGTAAATTTAAAAGACAGAGAGAAAGAGGCCCAGAGACTGAACCTTGGGGAGACTAAATATTTAAAAGTCAGAAGATAAGATGAAATGCAAACAGTGAGGTGAGGTAGGAAGAAAACCAGTGGAGTGGAGTGGCCTGGGAGCCAAGTAAAGTGCTTCAAAGAGGAGAGAGTGACCAGCTGAGTCAGTGCTGCCCAGACCTAAAAACATGAGGACTGAGAAACAAATGCTGGATTTAGCAACAGGGAAGTCACTGTTGTCCCCAACAGAGATGATAATGAATGGCTTATATTTGGAAAACAGTAAGTTAGCAAGAGTAGGTTTATACTGAGAAATAGTGGGAGATCTAGATAAAGGGAGGCCAGAAAATGGAATGCTTTAGGTGCCAAATTGGAGAGCTTGGCCTTTGCCTTATAGAAAAATTACAAATAAAAGTATTTGTATGGGACAAGAATAAAGCCAGTGTTTTTGAAAGTTTGCCTGATAGTAGTAGATGAGGAGAGGAGGGTCTGGATGCAGTAAAACCAGTCAGGAGTTTGTTCTAAAATTGAAGCTTATCAGGAGGGTAACAACAAAGATGGAGGAAAATGAATAGATGTAGGATGACTGATAGAACATAGAGAATGAGAGAAGAGACACCTAAAATGATGCCGACACTGCCTGAAAGAAGGATGGTACCAGCAGCCATCTCTGGGCTTCAGGTTAATATGAATTAGCTTTAGAGATGGGCCATCTTTAGAAAGTTTGAGACGCAGGAATTGTCCCCAGGTATGCAAAGCTGAAATAATTTTTAGAGATCAGGAATATTTGTTGGACATATCGGAATCTCATACTAAGTCTGGGATATAAAGGCTGGGGAAAGAGATACACTAAAGCGCAGAGACCATTTTTCTTGGGGAAAGAGATTGCGGGAGTCCTGGGAGATTCTGTGATGGGGCTATGATCTAGATCCTTCACAGGTCAGGCCCAGCAGAGGGAGCATTCTCGCAGGTGATACAATTATGAAAGACAGGCAAGATAGTTGTGAACAACTCTCCCCTCCCTAGGGGGAAAAAAGATGGATCTGCTAGCTTTTAGAGGAAGTAAGATTTAGGGAATGAGAAAATCAAAACCTGATGTATTAAACATTTTTCAATTTGTTTTGGTAGTTCTACCCTAGAACCTGTAAAAGTTGTAGAACTTTAGAATAAGAAAATAATGTACAGATAATTGAACTATTTCCTGCTCTTTTACAGGTAATGAAATTGAGGCTCTAAGAGCTTCAGTGCTATTTAAGAAGTCACTCTTCTAGTTCATTTCAGCTTGACAGATGTTTATTGAACTCCTGTTTGCCAAGTACTGTGCAAGGTGCTGAGAATACAAAGGTGAATAAATGACAAGAGAGGTTATTAGGCTGCACACCATAGAAGACCTTATAGGCCATCATAAGGATTCAGGTCCTTATAATAAAAGGATTGGGAAGCCATTGATGTTTGGGTTTTTTTGTTTTT